AATAAATGGTGCATCATGACGCGCCGTTTATTCGAGGGCGGTGTTTATTAACATTAATTTTCTGCTCTAAAATGCGACGTCAGAGTTTAATGGAATAAATACAATAAGCGCAATTTTACTTCTGCCCCCACACTATCCATACTTGCAATAGTTTTATCCATTACAATGTCAGTAAGGCAATGATGTGAATAGTCTCATATTGCATATTTTTATTTTTTACATTTTAAATTCATGATTTTTAGTTTTTAAGCTTTCAACTCAAATCATGTTATGTTATCCAGGCTATGACTGCAATTTTTGTTATCATATAATCTATCTACCTATCAGAAAAGAATCTGAAGTCACTGGAAACCATTTTTAACAATGAGTTACAGAAAGTTTGCAATTGTTTCAGGTGGCTGGACACAGTTTTGCGATAGTCAGCGGTAACTCGCATGATGGCGCATGTTTTAAATAAGACAAAGAAACGTGGCAGGGAAAAAAGCAATGGTACACAGAAAACTATTTCTAAAAATCTACTCATGAAAATATTGCGATGTTTGACACAATTTTTGCTTTCATCGTTTTTTAAATGATGAGAACTTTAAAATGGAACTTGAACAGACAATTTTTGCGACACATTTAATAATACCAAATGAAATGATATGTGTGGAGAGAGAAACACAGAAAAACATTTTGAGTTCCAGAGGGGATTAACCCACAACCTTACGTACACTAGTCAGATGCTCTAAACACTGAGCTACTGAGAACTCAGTGGTGAGTAGGTCAATTGTGGGCTGACATAACTACCGCATCACGAAGTCACATTATGTCAAATGAACACACAACATCAACTGTATCGCACAGTCACATAAATACTGTGTGAGCAATGAATAATAAATGAAATGATATGTGTGGAAAGAAGAACATTGAAAGAAATTCTGAGTTAGAATTGAATTACAGTACAATTTTATTATTGATTATCTAAAAACCCATCTGTTAAAAGTATTTTGGTCAAATAAGTTTCAAATGGTAATGATTTATTATAGTAAGCTGTATTCAAGTTTATAGAAAAATCTAATGAGCGAATGTTACGTAAACTGAGCAAAAGTAAAAATTTTAAGATTGTATTCAATCATTCATGTTGCCATGGAAACTGCGGAAAGTCAAATTCTAACGGTCAATCAAAATCTTTCATCAGTATATTTTTCAGTTTATAACTTTCATCTTGTGAGCTGCAACTTTCTCTTGCCATGATTTGGCAAATGATGTATACTCACAAACTTCCAAAACTGTGTTCAGCAACCTTACACAAAACTTCAGCGAGAGAACAGCCAAGAAGCAAAAAAATACAAACTGAGTAATAGAGGCACATTACCAATCCATACATTACCTTCTGCCGTGTTTCCAGTGTTGACGTTAAACGACCAATACAGCTCAACTCCTTCTCAACAAATACTTGAACACTCTCAAAGATCCTGTCCCATGTAATGGATCTTTTTCTTTTTAAAACTGAATTCTCATCAATAATTTTTAATACCGCAGGTGAGCTCAAAGAATTGAGAATCTTGGTTGCAGCATCCTGAATCAATTAAATGAATTTAATTAGTGATTGTGATAAAAAAAATGATGCTCACAAAGCAGGGCTCGAAATGGCGACTGATACTGTCGCCAATGCAACTAACATTTTCTCCTTGGCAACTAAAAATTCTGGTTTAGTCACCACTTTGGTGACCAGATTTCTCTGTGATTTAGATTTAAATTAAAAGAGTAAAGATAAAACAAACATTTCATCTTATCTTGCTTTGCTTTCATCATAAAAAATGTGCCAAATCACATAAACAAAGCCAGTTTACCTCCAAATTTATACCAACTTCTGACTGCGATATTTTCAAACAATCAAATCTGATATGTCACACAGAAGTCAAATTTCAAAGGATTTTCAGAGACAGATTCACAGAAATTTTCGGGGCTAACTTTACTGCAAAACAGTTGGTAAAAAATGGCCAATTTCATGGGAATTTTAAGGGCAAATTTCACTAGAAATCCATCTGTTTTCCGCTGATTTGATGAGCGTGTTTAATGTTTTGAAGAGAAATAATCATTTGCTATTCTAACAACAAGGCACTCGAGAAATGAGCCAATGGCAAAGCTTTTAACATCATGACCAATGCCCAGTTTTAGCAGCATAATTATTTACACCTGGTAGTTTTGGGACGTTGTTCGCTCATTGTTGTGATGAAGTTTCAAAATAAATTTGCAAGTTTACGGCAATTAAACAGCCCAATAGCTGAGACAAGTTTCAAATATGTTGTATAGCAAGTATTTGATAAGATTTCTTATGACTTTTGCAGTATTTTGCATGTTTTTGCGAATTTCTCAGCTCCACGGCCATGCTAAATATCAGAAGCCCTGATACTATGAGCTGCGTCATTCACATCATACAAACTGGTGACCTAAAATTTGCATCTGGCGACTATATTTGTCCAGTTGGTTGCCAAAAGGCGACATGAGGATTTTTTAATTTCGAGCCCTGCAAAGCCGGCCTTTACAGTTGTTCAAAGGCAGATTAGTGCTTAAGGTGGCTTGACTGGATTTTTTTCGGGGGATACCTCCCAAGTTTGAGAATTAACTACGCCATGAGTAAAGATATGGGAAAAAGATTACCACAACTGTATTGTATAAAGATGAAAATTTCTTATGATCTGGGTTTTATTGCAATCGAAGTCACCATGGCAACATTACAACGCCATTACGTTTTTTATTTATCTTTGTGTTTCTCTGTACCGGGAGTTTTTTTAAGAAATCGGTTAAGGGAGTTTGTACCTGCCATAATTGCCTCAATTATATCAAAGTTTGAACAATTTCTATGAGAGCGTTTTCGAAATATTTTAAAACGACGTTTTAAGCATCATAAAAACAGGGAAATAGCATGCTATCCACACAATTAACTAATTTTTTAAGAAAATGATAAGCTTTGGAAACGCGGCTTCATGTTATAGTGGTTTGATTCCATAGAAAACTGCGTATAAGAAAAGAGAGGAATTGCTCTGGGCGATCGCGAGTAAGAAGAATTTTAGTAACTTGCATTCCGCTGCTTTTGTTACAGTTTTAGCACGTAATTTGGTCCATGCCGACAATTTTTGCATTTTTCAAAAAACCGCTCGATAAATTTTTTTATACATTTGACAATCCCGAGATCAATCCTCTATAGAAATACCCTGCAAGTTTCAAGAACATTGAAAACAGAGAAGGCTTTTAAATAGGGCCTCAAATATAACCAATTTTTCCCCCAGGTTTTGTGTTTACAAGTGAGCGTCCTCATTATTCACTGGCATTGTTTGCAAGTTTCATATGCACGTGCACATTATTTTAGCAAAAAGAAATAAATTTGCATCAAAAAGAACTCTCGATTACTTTCGGAAGAAATATCCGGAATATGCTAATAATTGGCTTGTGTCACAGATAGCAGTGAGAGCCGAGACGGTGAACGTCACGGCTCATCATGTAGGATGCAATACTTAGTTATCTTACTCAGGTTACAACATCACAGAAACTCTCACAAAGAGTTGATGTGATGTTATAATATATCACTAATTTCTTTACCTGGTTATTAGCATATTCGGGAGATTTAACCGAGGGTTCTTTTTGTTGCAAATTCTATCTTTTTGCTAAATGTGCACGTGCATATGGACGCTCACTTGTAAACACAAAATCTGGGGGGAAAATTGGTTATATTTGACGCCCTATTTAAAAGACTTCTCTGTTTTCAATGTTCTTGAAACTTGCAGGGTATATTTATAGAGGATTGATCTCGGGATTGTCAAATTTATAAAAAAAATTTATCGAGTGGTTTTTTGAAAAATGTGAAATTTGTAGGCATGGACCAAATTACGTGCAAAAACTGTAACAAAAGCCGTGGAATGCAAGTTACTAAAATTCTTCTTACTCGTGATCGCTCAGAGCAATAGCCCCTATGCATGATTACGTCAGACGAGTAAATTTCACCAACAAGCCTCGTTTGTGAACAAAATTTTTTGCATTTGCACTTTTTGTGCGTGGGTATTCTTTTCAACTCTACTGCCTTGGGAATTCATTTCTGTGAAACTTCGCTTATTTTTAATTTCAAAACGAGGCTTGGTGGTGAAATTTGCTTGTGTGACGTAAACATGCATAAGGGCTATTCTCCCCTTTTTTTTGTACGTAGCTTTCAATGGAATCAAACCACTATGAGATGAAGCCGCATTTCCAAAGCTTATCATTTTCTTAAAAATTTAGTTAATTGTATGGATAGCATGCTATTTCTCTGTTTTTATGATGCTTAAAACTTCGTTTCAAAATATCTCAAAAACGCTCTCATAGAATTTGTTCAAACTTTGCCATAATTGAGGCAATTATGACAGGTACAAACTCCCTTAACCCATTCGCTCCTGGAGATTTTGCCGAAAAACGCGTTTTGAAGCTAGTCGAGTGGTTTTCTGGTCACTGTCGTGCTATAAAGAGCTAAAACTTACCACAAACCGGTTTACAGGTCGTACACTTGGCGGCCTTCTGATCCAGATGCAAAATATCAGCTTGCGAAGTTAGGGCATGCGCAGAAAGCAAAATTTCGACATAGTTTTTGGGCTTAAAAGTGACTCAGCAGTCTTGACTTTTACTTTTCGCTTTCTCTCCTCCCTCCTTTTTTCGCTTTTCTTGCCTCATTTTTTTTTTCTCTTGCTGGGCATTTAGTAGGCTTCATTTTGGTGGGAAGAGTTTTTAGGAAAGCTTTTAGGATCTTAGCATTAGGTGAAAGGAAAGGTAGGTGGGTAATGGAACAAGATTTTCGTGGAGATTTTCAGGTCCTTGTCACGTGGTTTTTTGCTTCTTTCTCCGGTGTCCTTGACAGAATTGTGCTCATTCTGGTATGGTTTGAAAGATCTCTTCACTCTGCACACATGTGCGAAGAAAGTTGTCCTTGCCCGTTAAAACTGATGACGTCACAAAGGGTAGAAAGGACCTGGATCCGCACGGGCGGTTACGGGCGGTTCAGGGGCGAATGGGTTAAGCGATTTCTTAAAAAAACTCCCGGTACAAAGAAACACAAAGATAAATAAAAAATGTAATGGCGTTGTTACGTTGCTATGGCGACTCCGATTGCAATAAAACCCAGATCATAAGAAATTTTCATCTCTATATAATACAGTTGTGGTAATCTTTTTCCCATATCTTTACTCGTGGCGACGTAGTTAATGCTCAAACTTGGGAGGTATCCCCCCCAAAAAATCCAGTTGAGCCACCTTAACCTGGGTTTCTTTTGCTTTTGTTCAAAAGCCTTTTCTTGGATAATTTTCTCTGTTAGTTTTAACAGCATCCAAACATCAACTTGCCGACAAAAGGAATTAAACTGAATGTACTTTTTTAAGTCTTCGTATCTGAATTCAAATTCCACGTCCTTTAGCCACAAGTTATCTTAATCCAGCTTTGAACAACCTAGCCCTGCAGATGAACCTTTGACTTTATTTACTTTTTTTCCTCATAAAGAAGTCTTATCAAGCTATTTAAATACCATCTCTAAATATGGAAAGAGCATGACAATTATTTCCCTTATCTGTGAAAATTTAATCCCGATCCTCGCCAAAATAGGCTGGATTATAATGTGTATAATTCCGGAAACTTTTAATTGGAGATGGCACTCTCTTCCAGTTAAGACTACGGATACAGTAAAACAATTTGTGGTCACTGAGGAGGGAGGTTATAACTCCAGTGTCTCGAATATTTTGTGGAAAGCTTGCAGCAATCAAGTCTATTAACAATTACGAGTCCTTGTAGATTCTTGCTGGACTGGTAATAAACTGTTTGTGATCTTCGATCACCAAAAAAAAAACAGAAAATAAAAAAAAAACAGCAATTAAAATCACTGAGTGAGAGGAATCAACTCTTTACCCTGTGAAACAGCACTGCCCAGCATAATTATTGAGTTTGACCATGAAATCTTTGTCATAATGTTTTGAAGAACAATAGGGACTGCAGAAGATGCCCATGAGAAAACCACATGATTTGAAAAGGGAACCCATTCTCACATCAAATTTTACCATAACTGAGCTATTTCTAGTGTGCTGATTGGTAGACAGCTATGTTTGATAATGATGTGATGGTGCTGTAATTTGTTTTTCTCTTTTTTGCATGCATGTTTCCTGAGAAACTTCAACTAAATGGGCATCAAACCTGTCAATGTTGTGGCAAAAAACAATTTTGCAACAATTTTCCACGGTCTGTACTTCTTATCAACATCAAAATGTTCAAAAATTTGCAGTGAAATCACTTGCCATTCCACTTGAGTTTTGAACGTGTTGACCTCATTTCTATGGTCGATAAGAGTACTTACCATGGAAAATTTTTGTCTATTCATTAATTATAATCAATGTTCTCTGTTTATTAACAAGTGCATGTAATATCGACGTTGCATGCACGCCCAACTCCAAAAGGTAACATCATGTAGAAGCGTAGCAAGCACTTCTGCCCGAAGACGTCAAGAAAGTTGTGAGGAGAGCAAAAAAAAGACCAACGGGGGAGGAGGAGGAGCCAAACTTCAGAATGCCCGGCCACTTCTTTGCATATCATTGAATAACAAAAGTGCCTATTGTGTTATACCTCGTTCTTTAAAGCGTTCTGACAACTGTAAATGATGTGACTGGGTATCCAGAGCAGGGGAGAGAAGGAAACGCTTGCCTTTTAACCCCTCCCCCTTCCCACTTCCAGTTTTTTTGCTCCCGCTCTAACTTCCGCACAATATATAACTCGGTTGGAAACGCTTGCTACGCAGCTACGCTAACGTCACGAAAAAGCAGCAATCTGCGGACATTTCACCATCCACAGGGCTCTTACCTTATCGTACAGTAATTCTTAATGAGTCTACCATCCACATAATATTGCAAAGCGCAAAACACAGAAAGCGTTATCTAAAAAGAACGAAAGGCGCTACCGCATATTTCAGCTGACTGCAAATACTCACTTTTCTATCGGTGACCTTCGCTGATTCCAACAGGCTGCAGAGGTCGGGAAATTCTCCTACTTTTTCCCCATGGTCTTCAAACATTGTTACCTCCAAATAAAAGAACCTGAAGTATCATTTGACATAAGCATTTTTCGTTATCATCCCCCAAACAGGCGAAAATATGCCCGATAAATCACGCACATGACACAGAACAGAGAGAAATGCAATTTGCTACAAGGCGCCCTGTTTTTGTCGCGCGCATCCTGTTAGCTCAGGTTACAGTCCCGTGAGCCTGTGCGGTATATTTCGCGGGAAATGTTTTCTGGAACCGGAAGTTGACGGGATAGAGAGGAAGACGAAGAGGAAATATATTCCGGCCATAAGGCGAAAAGAGAAGATGTTCAACTTTTCGAAACTTTAATTGAAGCGTAAGAGAACAAATCACGGGCTGGGATCTCCTTTGCTTGTTTGCGTGTATTTGCGTTTTGTTTCTGCCCCTGCCCTCAGTATTTCGCGGGAATAAGGGAAAAGCACAAAGTCTAAGCAAAAAATGGCCCAAAACGAACTTTTGGGAAATTGTCGTATTATTTCTTCATTAAAAGTTTTGATCATCATTTAAATATCACTGTGTTAAACATTACGGGCCCATTACAGGCGCATCAGGCGCGAGAATTCAAACGCCTGTCGCACGGTGAGATAAGCGTTTCGATTGGCTTATTCGCGATATGAAAATGAATGCTTTTAGCACGAGAGGGTTGCGCGCCTAGCAACTTCTATTCTTGATCTCGTCCTTCCACGTAGGCGGTTTTGTTATGAACTATCAAAGGTTTAAAACTGCCACGCTTCTATAACCAAATCAGCGTTGAAGAACTAATTGCAAAACGGCAGTTTAGAGCCTATGCACTTGTGGCTTATGTAAACTTGCCCTTAATTGCCATGATGATGATTTCTGAAGTGCCACAAGCAAGATATTTATTGTTATTTTGCTTCATTTACCCGCTTTTTTACGGGAAAGCCGATGCAGAAAATGTTCCGGGGAATCAAGGCGGGTTATCAGATGAAGATACTTCGCAGTTCCATGACAAAATGGCTAACGAACGAAGGTGAGTACAAAGCTAAAATAGAGCTAAAAAAATAGTATTTTCTTCCCGTTCTGATTGACGAGATAATGTAAGCTGCTATGACTTGGCCATGCCACTGAACTCTGGGTTAAATGTCGGCTTTTATCACAACATTGCTTTCGTTTTAGGATCCCTTGGCTAAATAAGCTGAAAGTGTAACCAGATGTATCATTTCACTGTCCGAGCGTCCTTAAATCTAGGCTGCGCGTGAATTTAAGCTTACATAAATGTAGCGCCTCAAAGAGTTTGACTTCGCTTGTTAATTCTTGTTTTTAAAGTTTGCAGTTGTATGCAATTTACGAATTCAGGATGTAATCTGCTTGTACCCCTCATGCAGATAACATCATGAATTCATCCGTCCCTTGAGAAGTACCCCACTGTAATGAAAGCACAACATTTATTTGTGGTTTTCAGAAGTGAATGTACCCATTTTCATTTGTAAAAAATAATTTGCTATAAAACCATACCCATGTCTGCAAGACCTTTTAATAGCTTACTATAGGTATAACTGCAGGTTTGATAATTTCAATTTGCTTGCTTGCTTTCAAGCAAACTGTAGAAAGTCTCATTTTCCTAAAATTAATGCCTTTTCGTAGGCAAAATATCCGTTGCCAGGGCTCAAACTCATTCATGGAGAAATTCCCTTTGAAAATGGTGTATGGATACCCCACCTGTTGCTGGAGGCAAAATAAGCAGGGATATTTTTCTGCACAGTGAAAATGAGCCTCTGAAATTTTGCCACTTCCTGACCCAAAGAAATTGGCTGCCTACTATAAACTGTAGGTTAAGTAATATTATTAAATAAAAATCACACACAAGTTTAGGCCTTTAATGCTGCCTGCTACACTGTATTGGCCATTGCAGAAAACACCATATATTTTTCAAACTGCTGTTTGAATAGCACTTCATGTAGACCTCACTTTTTGCATTATTTATCTCTTTTATTTTTGCACAAACTTAACATACTATAGCTGATTTCCAAAAATGCCATAGCACAAATAGATCTACAAGGTACATGTTTAAAGCACAGGCTACAACTTCGCCGGAGCATAGTTATTCTGGCTTTTCCCTGTAGAACAGCAGAATGGAAATCAGAGTAAACTTAGCTGTAGGGGGCTTGCACCACAGTGTTAAACATCAAAATCCTGAACACAAAAGTCGTGGGTATTAATAAAAATACACTTGAGTAAAAGTTAGCATGTGTGTGCATACAGTCAAGCTGATGTACAGCACATGCAAATCATGCCAAGAGATAATGCAATAGTCAGGTTTACATGGAGCACTAGCCAAAGGAAAGTTTCAAAACTATTATCAATAGTATTTTCTACAATGGCCTTTCTGGTTATCTTGCCATTTACTGCAAAACATTTTGACTTGGTTGATATTTTGCTGGTCTTAACTGTATATGTGTTACAGGTCAAAATTAAATTCAGGTTAAAATTTTTTAACCTACCTAGATTGATTCTCAATTTTCTTTGTCTTCTAGCCCTAATGTACGAATAATTAGGACTAGAAGACAAAGAAAATTGAGAATCAACCTAGGTTAAAAAATTTTAACCTGAATATTTAATTTTGACCTGTAACATATGCACTATATACATACTCTGTACATATGCTACATGATTGTACATACATGTATGGCTACTTTGAGAATGTTGGTTATTTTAGTCAAGCAGTGTGCAGACCTCTGGCCAAGTGTGGTCGATGTTATCTAAGCCTTCCATTGTTATTTCAGACATCTTCTTGCTCACTTGGGAGATAGAATGGACTTAGATGGAGAAGGGCTGAGGTAAGGTTTTGTTTTGTTTTCAATTTATTTACTGATCCCTCATGCCTTTACTGTGCTTTTCAAAAACAACCAAACTCTGAAGTTCAAAAGCTGCGTTCACAGTTGTGTTTTTCGCTGCCTTCAATCATAATATTAGGATCACAAGTAGCGAACGTTATAACACAGAAACACACAAAACGGGTAGAAATCCACCAGTCACAAATCACAAACCTTTACCCTTTGAACTTGTTGAAGTAAACTTCTGTTTCCCAAAAGGTCTGCTAAGATGGTTAACGGCAGCAAAGAATGCAAAAGTCAGTTGGCTTTGAACTTCAGAATTCGCATGTTTTTGAAAAGCACAGTAACTCATGAATAATAGAACATAATTCTAAGATCGGGTGCATTCTAAGTTCGGCAGCCTTTATGATATGGATTATTGTGATTAGACTCGAAAATAATAATCGTGTTAATTATGTACTGTTAAAAAAATAATATTTATTGTGTACAGCAGAAAACTTTTATAGCCTGCTGGTGTTGTATTATTATGCAACACCAGCAAGCATATATTACGCTTTCTACTCTCATGCAATCTACAATGTAGAAGATTTGAAGACAACTGTTTTAATACGTTTGTTTTGTTTTCTTACATTTTGTTTCATTTCATAATAAGTCTCACAAATTATGTGCAATTATATGAGCTTGTTTGTTTGAATGGATAAGTAACTACCAGTACACCAACATGTATAATAGTACCATGAAATGCATCTTAGTCTTATTTCACAAATATTTGGAAGTTTATATTTCGGAGATCGGGGGAATTATAGTTGCAATTTAGGTAAAGTTACATGTAAAGGTTCTCAAGATGACAACTCTGAAGCAATTTTAGGTTTAAGGTTTATTAATCCTTTTACCATCTATTTCAGGAGTCTGAGTTTTTTAAGGATACAAGTTTTAGAGACATGCACCCAGGGCTCTATGTCTAAGGTCTTTTTGCATGGTTCGCACGGGTCTTGAAAAGTCCTTGAAAATTGAAAAATTGTGGGATATCCTTGAAGAGTCCTTGAATTTTCCACAGAAGTCCTTGAATATTTTTGAAAGCTCCTTGAATAAAAATAACCAAGTTAATTTTAAAAAAATGTTTTGCTCAAAGGAATGATTGAAAGCATAGCAATACACAACAATTTTCTTGGTGATCATAAAAGTGTTTTCTTTATATGATTTCAGTGTTCCTGGTTCATTTTCCGTTATTTGAAGTACCCTAAGCACTGTGCCTTAATGAAGGAAGGTGTTGTAATATTAGCGAGCCCCCCTCCACCTATGCATTTTAAAAGTCTTAACTTCATGTTATTGGGGAAAGAAGTCCTTGAAAAAACGATTTTGGTCCTTGGAAGTCTTTGATTTTTTCCCAAAAAATTCTGTATGAACCATGTTTTGTATTTTACAGACATATCCAGAGACATTTTGGCCAACAAGCAGGAGACACTGAACAAGACCTAAAGGATGTTGCTAATGGTGATAATACCAAAGGTGGTGTACTCAATGAAACTAATGATAAACGCTAACACTAAGTCCTTGCAGCAATAAAAACACAACTTTTAATGTTAATGAACAGGCAACACTCAACTCCGATCCATCATGCACGAGGTCATTAAGGACTGTCGATCAATCACCAGTATATATGCTGAGATGAAATTGTACATCGTTCTGATCTTATCCAGGGGACCAGCAGAAGTCCGTGTCTGACACAAAACTTTTAAAAGAATGTAGACTACATGACTGTACAGTATTGACGTTAGAACGTTTATACCTTGCCATTACATTATAATTGAGTGCGAAAAATGCTATAAAACCCCAAATGTCATTGATGTTAGGAAACATAAAATGAGAATCAACACCTAACCCAAATGCCAAGGTATTACTGTATATCTTTTGATTGTGAAAATTTAATCCTGTGGGTCCTTTGACTTGTGTGTCCTTGTTTTTTTTAGCCTGCAGTTCAGGCCCTGCTTGCACATCTGCTTCACACTAGCCTTTGTTCACGTGAAAAATGTGAACATTAATAATGCCTGTCGTGCAAGTTCGGTTTCTTTTTTTCACGCTGTGATGTACAGGAGAGAGACTAAAGATGCCTACATTGTAAGGCTAAACAATCAGGTTGATTTCCATGTTGTCAGACTTACAAACATGCTGATCATATAATTTTCATATTTTTATTTTCTTAACAGGTATATTTTATTTCTTCAAGTTCCATGATTATGATGATAACCAGAAGCTTGATGGCTTAGAATGGATGCAGGCCCTAACAGATTTTCATGAAGAGGATAAGAGCAAGGACGAGTTCAAGGAAGGGGGGAAAATGTTCCTTGAACATGAAGCTGAGGCAATTGTGGATGAACTTTTGAGTAAACATGACAAAAATGATGATGGCATGATTGACTTCATTGAGCTGATGAACCAGAATGTGAATTCATTTATGACAGAGTTGGACAAACCTGCTCCAGAGGATGCAGGAACTGAAAATAACGAACAACAGCAGCAAAATGAGGAGGCACAGTCATCACTCGAGCAGGAATTCAATAAACTTCAACAAGCTCAACAAGGTCAAAATCAAGGACAACAGGAAGACCAACAGCAACAGCCACACCAAGAACAACAGCATGATCAGGACAACCAAGAAAAGGAGCAACAAACACAGGAAGACCAACAGCAAAAGGAAAGTAATAAACAAGAATCACATTCAGAAGAAGCACAAGGTGAACAGGAGGTAAACCAAGAGCAGCAAGAGAGTGAACAGAAAAATGAGCCAAGCTCTTTAGAAGAAGAATACAATCGTCAACAACAAGAACAATGATAATGAATTAAATTAAAGTTAGAAATAATGAATTTTTATTATAGACTCTTATTTTACTACAAATTTTTATCTTGTCAACATGATTTAGGAAGATTCAATGGGAATATGATACAGTTATATTATTTCTTAACTTGCCTATTTCTTGAGTGTTTTATTGCGGAAAAATGTTCTATTTACACAGTACCACTATGCTTTGTCATGAAAGAGGAGACCAGATACTACATTAATATTATTTTTTGCAAACGTGAAAAATATAATATACACTGAAAAGTATATATTTCAGGTTGGAATAAGTGTAGATTTCAATTTTGGAATAGCCAGTAGTCTTAAACTTAAAAACATTTTAGTTCCTTAGTCTTTGAAGCAGTTTTTAATTTCACAATTGCATAGTTTTTAAAGCCAATTAAGAGTTCCGTCGTCTATGAAATTCCAAAGGAAATATTGAGTCGCGCCATCTTGCAAATTCTGTCATCTGCTTTTTGTGTCCTAGGTACAGTTCACTGTAAGAAATCTTTACTCTTTAATTGCTGTAAGTATATCGGGAGTAACTTTGTACAGTATTTTGCTTGCAAATTTTAGCTGAATCTTGTGCTTACATGAAGCAGTTACATGATGCACCTGATCGATTTTTCATGATTTTATAAAATTTTCTTTTTCGCAAATTACTATCTTTATCAAATAAAAGGGGTAGTGTTGGTAATCTGTGAAGCTAGTGAAGTCACAAACACAGCTACAATTCCTTACAGTATCTTGGTGTTGACTGGAATGCTTTATGTATCTTCACACTTCTAACTTTTAATCGGGGCCAAATTTAACAAAAGCTCTTACAATGTATATCCGCCCATATTTTTCTCAGCTCTCCTTTGACTTTTACAGACAGTCGAAATATGCATATTCCCCTTTCCAGAAATTATAGGGGAAATGGGTACAGGCTTTTGGTGCAACGATTTCTTGGATCATTTGGGTGGACAAGTGTTACTGTGAATCTGTGATTGTTGGTTGTTGCAACCTTTAACAGCCCTGGGTTCGACCAGACACAGAACTTTTCATGAGCCGAGCCTTATTCGAATTAAGGCCGACCCAAAATATTTAGACCGGCTGAATTGATTCAGACGCCAATCTTAATTGCAGCTGAACTAATTTAAAAAGGCGAAAAACGCTCATTTCGGTCAAGCTGCTTACAAAATGCGTTTTTTATAATAATATTCATGCATTAGATTCCGTACATGAAAAGTTCGGTGTCTCAATCAAAGCCGTTCCAAAGTCTCTCCAAAGGTGAAATTCCCGGCCGGGCTAAGGCGAAAAGAACGGCTGGGCCGGTCCGAATTGAAATGGGCGTTCCTAATTCATTCAGACGCCGAACTTTTCATGTACTTAATTCAACGTATTAGGTTCGGCGTCTGAACTGGCCCTAACCATTGTCCACTCAAACAATTCCAGAAATCACTGCGCTTTAATTTTGTTCTCATTTTCCCAAGAGTTTCTGAGTTGGTGACTTAGACTGTCATCTGCCTCTCCCTTCCCCCTTCCCCTCCCCCCAAAACACACGCCACCTTCTCTTGCGTTTTTAGGGTCATTTTCAGGTCGGAAAGCTGATAGGTGCTTCGTTCCCGGTCGAAAAACTGATATTACATACATCTTTCATTGCTACTGGCAATAGAGCGGGGGGGGGGTGTATTATTTGTAAGGAGAGAGAGGTTTTATTGCAATCAGGTTTCATTTGCTAGTTCTTTGTTCAGAACGTGGATAGCGCTTTTCACCATGTGCGAGTCCCTGCCAGGGAAGGGGGGGGGGCTCCCATCTCGCCCGTCTGAATTTTAAAACGTCTCGTGTAGGTGTTTATAAACGCTTGTCGCTTATTGTCGGCTTTGCCGTCACTGTCCCAATTTGGCCGAGGGAGGTTGTCTCTTGTCGCGATTTCATTTTACGCGCTGTCGCTACTTTTTGGGCCATGTCGCTTGTCGGAATTTACCCTGGTAGGGCCTCATGTGCTAGATAAATTTCTATCCGCTAGTTAGCGCAGTTGGTCATGCTGACGCGTACCTACTGAGCCGATGCAAATGTTATGGCACATTTTGATACCGTTCTCTGCGGGAGCAACGCCAGAAAAACACTGACTAAAACTTTCAATTAAAGGTTTTGTAAAGATCTTTATAGACAACGTACAAAGAGTCTGAGTTACTGATCTGGAGGCATCTCGCGTATAAGGCTTTTTTTCTGAAGTTAATATAAGGTGACTGCTGGTATTTATTTTCAGAGCAAATTTTGACTAAGAGCCTCAGAGGCATAACAGTGGCATACAGAAAGAGAACAGACAAGTTCTCTATCCCAGGTCCCAATCACGCACGTAATCCGGGACCTTAAAGATGAATAAATACATACCAAGCGCGACTGACGCGCGACTTTTCAAAACAGTTTGAAGGGACTTACAAGTATTTTCTCCCTGAAGTTTACTACTATAATTTGCTCAACTCCATCACAATGGTGACGACTATCGTTCTTTTTCTGTTTTGGGGCTCTATATTAGAAGTATCAGGAAAGATTCACGTTGAGGTGAGCTCAAAAATTGTGTTGACTTTCAATTGAAGATTTAATCCCCTACTAGTCGTCGGTTTGTAAATTAAGCGTAAGCCTTAATGTTAAGCAATGAATCTTTCGGTATTTATGCGATTTTCCCGCTCGTAACGATTCAAACTGAAATGGGCAAAACTTGTAAACAAAGTTCATATCAGTTGGCGAAACCTCTAAGACCATTAAGCTTAATTTACTCTGAATAAAGCGACATTAGTGAATGCAGACTGAGCATCAACCATACCAGTCAAAGCTGGACAAGATCACATCCCGTTTGTTTTAAGTTTATAATGTCAATTCAAGCTTAAAATTCTGTACTTTCTATTACAGCGTTCAGGAATCTTGCCAGTAAATTCAAAAAGTTTTGGAATACAGTTTTGTAAGTATAACTGCATGGTATTACTGAAGTTAATAGAAAACACTTACTACTAAAAACAAACCAGTCAACAAACTCTTGCGGTTTTATCTACAATTCTACAGACATTACACTTGCGAACGATGCAAGAAAATCGCTCACAGTAACACCAAATACACCGCGTTGCTGTTGGCGAGTTGACAAAAAAGACTTGGATTGCAAGGTTGGAATACTATTAATTAGTCGATCTCTGGTACTACAAAACCTAGGTCTACGCGAATTTATATTTTCTTCAAGGATTCAAGCTTGCAAGTTTTAAACTTTTACCAGTACTTTTTAACAGTACTTTGTCTCTTCCCAGTCGATGGAACTTGTTGGAGGAAACGAAATGACACTGTCTCCGTCAACAACAGGGAACATTAGTTACGTATTTCCAAACAAAGTAAGTTAAATATGCGTATATTTTCATCTCAGAAATCTTGGACACTAACGAACGGCTCGGCTGACAGTTTTCAGATTTTTCACTCGCACTGTTGACAAAAAATGTTGGATACATATTGTACGGACGGCTTGTTTTGCGTAAATCCCAAATGGCATAGAAAACAAAAGAAAACTTTAAAGTTCTTTATTTAACATTTAATATTTAAAAGTATTATTGGTTTTGAAAACTTAGCATTAAAATTGCAGTTAAAAATCATTCGTCAAGTTGGATAGCGGCTAGACCAACTACTTTCGGCGGCTCGGAATTGTAGCAATGTTTTATTCTGCGGTTGTTCGTTAACTCAATAAAACGGCTCTAAGTGAAAACTTTGCTCAATCAATTTTAGTACCCGATGGATAGAGTGGGAAGCTGTGACTTTACATTTGTTACTGGAGACAAGAAGCTACATCATAAAGTACCATTCAACACTACAGAACCGAAAAAGGCATCATGGCTAGACGGTAAGTTTTAATTCAGTTTAATATTTACATGTGTTAGTGGAGCTTTAGCTTTCAGGCTATGCATTTTGCAAAAAATGAGTTTCGAGTTTCCATTATTTATCTATGACTGATAAGGATTTCAAATACAAATTTGATCACCTAGTCAATTTATCTATTCTAATAAATAAGTACACTAGTCAACCGGTCACTTCTTTCCAGTCCGGACAGAACTATTCCTAGTCTATTACAGGGTTAATTTACCCAACTCCTACTACTAAAATAAGAGGTATGGACCACATAAGGCTTTGTTAATACTACCATTTAACCGGGTGGAGGATTTGAACTCGGGACTACCATGAACAAATCCAGCTTGTTGTCATGGTGGGAACTGATTTCGGGGCCCTACTTCCTCAAGGGTTCCATGCTTATAGCACTTCAGTGTGTCGGTGTATGTTGCTTGCCTTACTATAAAAGCCGTGTACTAAACTGTAGAGAGAATTTCTGGCATTCTCGACTTTTAATATTGACTTATTTCTTACAGTTATTGGCTTTGGAGGAGACAGTTACAGAAAATGCCGAGGCGTTGATCGGGTAAGTAATGGAAATACCGTAGACTTCCGATTATAATAAGCCCCTTTCTCCCCCCCCCACCCCCTTATAACCTCCCATTTATATGCCCATCTACCTGTGAACAAAGAAATATTTATCCGGTTAAAAGCCCCCTTCTAGCTCGTATAAAAATGACGTTTTGAAGCTTACAGAAGCGATCAAAAATATTGTGATAATCTGACTGTTATGAAGTTTGTTTTGAGACACTTTTTTTTCATCAAGCTATAAGTTTCCCGCCCGAATATTCAAGGGCTGCTAATTAAAACCCCTTACTAAGATATATAAGCCCACGGCTTATAATTAGAAGTTTACGGTATTGCCTTGTTTAGAGCCCTGTGTAATTCACTCAGTCGCAAAGGCATAATTAGTATCATAAAGGTTTGGTTAAATAAGTTCCGACAAGTCTCAAACATTACACGTCTCATCGCCCAATGAGCTAAAACATTAAATTTGTTCATTCAATGCTGTAACACGGACACATGTAAAGTTTGACGTCTGAGATTGATCTATAATAGTAAATCCCTATCGTATAAAATGGAATGATCTGCTGAGTTTCAGGCAACATCAGAGAAACATAAAGGGGCGTAGAATCGGTTACCATATCGGCCGTGAAAGATTTGCTTACGACATGAAAAATTCGACACCTTTGGCACAAAGGTCACAAAGGTAGAATATGAAGCATACAAGCCCTCATGGTAAGAACTGTTTCCGTTGAGGGAAAATGCGATTTACCTGTCACCTACCACATGCTGGCAAAACGATTAGCGAATTGACATGCTATACGAGGAAGAAAGCTCTGATTCAGCTTCTCCTTGAAGAAAGGTGGACTGACAGTGCCTGGTCGTTTTATGTCTTCTTTAGGATCCAAGAAAAAACTGTCAACCCGTAGACTGTGTAGAAAAGTACAATGGCTGGAGAAACTTTTTCAGGAACTCCACAGGAAAATGCGAAGCTGTGCACGAATGTTACACAACAGGGAAGAAAGGGGAATTACCAGAAATTGTAAGTTATTACTAATGGGATGCTTTAAAGGTATTTTCTTTTTTTGCTTTCTTTTCTCGACCCACTGACTCCTAGATCGATCTTAGACGCTTTGCGAAAAAAAGAAATTCTGCAACAAGTATATCCAGAAGTAAAAGCGAAGCAAAATAACCCATCTTTACTTTTAGTGTATGTTCGTTTTCTTTTCTACCCGTTTTTCTCTTCCATTCCTCCTTTTCCTTCTGCTAAGCTTTTACTAGACGTAATCATGGTAACATTTCAACTCAGAATCTGAAGAACATGAAACGTTTTTACAACAATTTGGCAGAAGAAAGGGGTACCAAGTACATGTTGTATTTTCCTTCAAATTAGATGCGAGTAGTTTCTCAAGTTTGTCGCATCTGCTCTTTCGCTAGCTCCTTCCAGTCTTGTCGTGACAGCTCAGTGCACTTGAAAATGATACAAAAGATACCGTAAGCAATCTCACTATAGTATTTGTTTTACTATAAAATAAAAAGATCTCTCCTGTCTTTTCTGAAAGAGCAGGCTGCTTTTAACGAACACTTACAAGTACAGATGTTACAATAAAACAAAAAAATTAGAACTATTATTTCTGATTATCTCTTGTTTTTAGTTAGTGCATGTTGAAGCTGAAAGTATATTTAAAAAGCACTAGAAAACAGACAAGTATACGTGCGCCATATGTGCTGAAATTAGTATTACATTGATAGGCTTTTGACAAGGACCACAATGACTGTAAGAGTTTAGTGAGTGCTGAACTAACAAAAGAACAGAGAAAACAGATTCATGACAACATGGACAAGAGCAAATTAGCGCAGATGAAGTTCACGTTGGAAGACATCAAAGACATCAATCCGGTAAGCTGACAATTTTTACCAACGCATCCACAAAACTAAAAAATATAGATCATGAAATCTTTGTTTTGCTTTGAATTTTTTTGAAAAAATGTTCTAAAAGCTTAAAGAGGAAACAATTCACAGAGTTTAAAACAGCTAATTTTCTCTCTAGATTTTTTAAGACCTGAGTGTTAATCTTTCGACTGCATAATTATTTACCTACTACAAACAAATCTTTTACTGAGGAAAAACACGGTTCTTATCTTTTCGAATTAAAAAAATTTTTAAGTTTGTTCTAGTGCTGCAATTTTGCGAGGCTAATTTTTAGTCACGAGAAACAAGTGTTAGATAGTCAAGGTGCCATCATTCTAGTGTGGAAGGAATTTATTAGTCAACTTTTTCCTTGACTTTTTATTTGTTATATGCAGATTAAATTGTAATGCCATCTATAAAATTCATGCAAGTTAATTGCTTACTTTTGAATGACAGGTGCCACTCAACTGTCACCATGGCCGCCGAGTTGGTTCAGTATGTGTTTGCAATGAAGGTTGGAAAACAAAAACAAACAATGTGCCTAAGAAAGACCTCAGGTTCATTTATGATTGGTGCAATGTGAAGATCAAGAAGACAAAGTACTCTGCCCAAAGAGCTCTGCTGCTTACTGTATCCTTCACTAAACATTAGGGAGTTCTCAGTTTGAGCAACATCGATGAGAAAGGCAACGAGGGCGGCAAAAAAAGCAATAGGGATGTAAAGCAAACAACAACTTTGCTCGTGCATCACACTTTCCGTGTATATTTCTTTGCCGCTGCACGACTTTGACGTAAAACTCCCTAGTTTCACGTTTTATGTTGAACATGAAATTAAGACGACGATTTTCATTTTCTTTTTCCTTACACTGAACAGGCCTTTAGAATTTAACGCCCGAAAAATTCGTCAACATTTGAAAATCTGAACAAGATGAAACATCACGAATGTAAACCACTCAAGTATACTGTCTCGTTTAAGTGAGAGCCTTGAGTCTCAAGCATAGGTTTTATATATCCTTACAAACTATAATAAAGAACACCGGTATTTTTTTTTTAGAATTCCCCTGTGGAGATGTGTAACTCTCTTTATCACAATCGTTTCTCTCTGTTACTAATCTTAACTAACCAATCAGGGCTTGGGCCTCGTTGGTTTCACCCTTTTGATTGGCTGGGTGATTATCATATGGAGTTGCTTTATCACTGGGACCAGGCTTCACTGGGACAATCACGAATCGTGGAACATCAGCAATTTCCTTCGGCCATTTAAAACTTTATGTAAGTTGTCATAGTAGACGAATCTAATTCATCTTACTAATCTTGTATCTAGAAGCCCCCCGGTACGAACACGAGAGAGATTGGTTCCCTACTACTAAACGTAATACAGTCAACTTTCTATTAATAGACAACTCCATAAGATGGACATTTCTCTAAACGGACACCTAGAATTGGTCCATTCCTTTCTTCACTCCTTTAAGTTGACTCTTTAGAAGACGGACACATAGTTAGGCTCGATTACCAGCCGCTGTTCAGGAAATGAGCCCACGCTACTCCTCTCTCCTCTCTTCTCAGGGAGAACCGAGAGAGCGGCGGAAATCTAACCTAACACATAGTGCCGGTCTCAAAGGTGTACTAGCGTCTTAGGAGGGTCGACTTAATGCTCAAAATCCTTATTCAGCGTTGCTTGGTGATTTACAGGGTACTATGTGCGATTGCAAGTGACGACGTGGTGGCGAAGAAACCAACATGGCTTTGTGCATACATCTTATGAACCAAAAACTGACAACGAACTTCGTTTGAAGAAAGGACAGATTGTAGAAGATATTGTAAAGATTGACGAAGAAGGATTGTACGAGGTAAGAAGTGGCCAGAAGCATCAGCTTAAGAAGCAGACTGGTACGACATTTATTTGAGTTTTGCAGTAAGTCACACAGGGACTTAAGGAAAGAAAATAAATGCTATTTTTACTTCGTCTCTTTCCATGCATGACAGCCTGCGCGCCTCAATCTAATTCCGATCTTCTCTCATTCCGAAAATAATTATAGTCTGTACTATTGGGGAGGGGGGGCGGCTGTATACAGGCTAGAACACAATGAAACTAGTTGGTCAAAGAAACCTATAAAACAATTTTTTGCCAAGATCTTCTCGCGTGGTACGTATGCTCGTGGGGTTGGGGGAAGTAGCGTCGAGAAAGAACCATTTTGTGTTGCCCGGGTACATACTAGATGCAATACCTCTTTTCTGAGCTTTTCCTTTTTCATTCAAGCCCCACCCTGCATTCCCTTTACCCAAAGGGGTAGTTAGATTCAAGAGGCTAGGAGTCACGTTATAACAGGAATGATCTCTGATGTATTATCTCCCCAGGGAACATGTGACGGTGTGCGAGGATACTTCCATCAGAGCTATGTCACTGTCAAGGCCAACGAATCTTAAATCCAATCAGATTGCAGTTTTGAAAACAGTTCTTTTTTTCTCCTTTTTCATATATTTCGCGAGGATGCCCGAAACATTTAGTACATCATCTGCCCTGAACCCCCATTTAATCTACAACGTAGAGTCCGTCTGTGTTAACCCTTCAAGTCCCATGAATTTTCTGTTGACAATATGGAATTGCTTTGATCCTTTACAAATTCTCTCACCTAACTTTAAGAGGAAATGTATGGACAGCAGTCGGGAGAATTTGTATGTGGATATTGGGGCTTAAAGGGTTAATTTATTAGCGACCAATTTCGCAAGCGTAACAGCAGATCCCTAACCTGCGATAACACAGTGACATGTAGAAGATGTCTGTCTGATCGTAGGTTGGAAATGTAACTGATCTGCATCACACGTAAACGTGGTTTTATCAGCTGGTTTTTTAAGTCAATTTACCACCAAAAAAAGCTGTGATGTCCAGAGCGCTGGCCGTCAGTCAGGGTGAAATAAGAAGATTGTAGCCTGGTTGGGTTGTGTGTGGCAAGGGCCCGCAAATACGAAAACATTTCCAGTTATATAACAGCGAAATGCAAACCTCACACTATCCACAATTTCCTGATTTTTTCTGACAAAGGGCTACAGCTCGAAATCAGCTTTTCAACGATCTTTCTTAGGTAAATTGGCTTGAACAACTCAATTTTGGCGATCGTAGGTAGGATCAGCGTCATAAGCGACACACGCCGCGGATAAACCACGCAGGCATGCTGTAGAAATGGTAGCCAAATAAACAGGTGTACAAAGGCTTCCAATTCATATTCCGTGGCAGTTGACAACGCAACTGGACTCCCTTACACTCGATAGTAATTATCCGGTGATAGCGCCATCTAACTGTAGGGCCGCTGGGATCAGTTTGGAAAGTTTCTTTTTTTATACAGGGGAAAATTCGATACTACCGCTGACCACTGTTAGTAAAATTGGTTGGGATGTAGCTAACAATACGAACGATTGCATCACTTTCTAAGCTAACAACAACGCAAAATAAAACGAGACATTTATTGAACATACTTTACGACTAGAGAATGAAACTATGGCGTTAGATGTACATTGTATAAAAAGGCCGGTTATCACGGAGGGCGGGTTGTTTCAAGAATTACGGTCTTCACAAAAGGCCTTGGCGACTGAGATCCTCAAACGTTCGCTTGTTAACAACATTTCCAAGAGAATCTTCATACTCTTCCTGCAAACGAACAATAATGACAACAGTTTAACTTATGTTGCATGCAGCTATATTGCACAACAAATGCTGAACAACAAACGCTCGACGATGTTAAACAGTGTCATTGGCTTAAACTTAAGTTCGAATAAAAATCACTTTGAAGTTTTTGACAATCTTTAACGGTAGTTAGCCGACGCAAGTTCTGTAAATCAAAATGGCACAAAGTGCAGGAACTCTCGTGCTAGTCAATGAACGATTAGCCGCAGCGCAATGATTTTAAGAAATACCCTTATGTACGTTTAGCTAACTTCAATTCTAATTATACTGTGACCTTTAAACCTTTACACCTTTGCTTCAAAAGCACATATACCACACTATTTGTTCTCCTTACAATTACTCAGTAATCAAGGAATTACCCTCTTTTGTGAATATTTCCTTTACTCTCATAACCATTTTAAAAGATTAAGAAGTGATATTAAGAGAAAGGGAAGGCGAAGTAAGATTCTGTTATTTTCAAGTGTGGGGCGACATTAAGCCGAATTGAACGCGAGAACGAAGTTTTCATTCCCCTCCTCCACACTGTCTTGAATGCTATTAAACTCTGCAAAAGCGGTTGTAAATTATGAAAACCGCGCAAATGACTTGCCTCTTGTTCAGGGAGCCACCGCTCCTTTGCTTTTACTGCCTTCAACTTATGCCATACTGTAAAAAGAACAAAAGGATAACAGTCACTCACTTCATCTAAATTTTAAGGATAACGAAGCAAAAAACTCCCAGTATATAGACACTGCAATAAACTTCATTATAAAAGAGATTTTTTGCTAGGAGGGAAACATGGCAAGAAATAAATTGCTTATACAATTTTCACAACAATCTTTTGGTATTATCAAAATTTACTCCAGAAGTACTGGATTTGCGGTAGATTTCACATAACCAGTTTGCTCTTCTGCTACAGTGGAAGCTCCCCTAACGGACGCTTTCGTAAGCGGACAGCTCTACTTGCGACCGCCTTCGCAAAACCCCGTTTTTCTCAACTCCCATACAAACTCTGTATTTTTTCATTCCCATAAGCGGCCAGCTCCAGTTACGAACACCTTTTTCGCATCCTAAGAATGTCCGCTCAAGAGAGCTTCCACTGTAGTTTTACGAATGGGTAACTTACAAAATGCCCGAGAAATAATGTGCTGCTTCACACACAAGCATGCAAGCACTGGTACAAGAAAATTATTTACTGTTTTTATGCGCTTCTGCTGCATTGAAGAGCAAACTTTAAACCACAAACAACACTACGAACATGACCCTTTTTAGGAAACTGGCGCTTGTCAGCTGATTTGAACTCAGCTTGACTGCAGTATATTTATTGTGGGCAAGGTGCTGAAACTACTTGTAGCTTGCAGTCATATGAAAAGATTTCGTTAGATATTTCCCCCACATATGGAAAACCCTACGCTGCAAACTAGTTACAGTTCAATGCCTTCGCCCCGCTTATATCAATTTTGGTACATGTTTGGGTAAACCAGCCCTCAGTTTTAATACAAGAAATGAATCAACATTACATGCTACAGCGTCTTCTATTAAGGTGACGTTGGCAAAATGCGCTGTGTTTGGGATTCCCAGACATCTCATGCCGTGTGCATGCCGCCATTCCTGAGTGGGAGTAAAGCAGATCACAATCATTTGTAAGTGAAGTAAAGGTAAAGAACACTATTGCTTAAAAAATACGTGTCAGCTATGAAGTGTAAGTTTTACCCCGCAGTACTTAAGTTTGATTTAGGGCCTGTTTACATGGAGGTGGGGGACTCCAGGTAGGAGAGGTAAACCGCTTAGGTGGGGTAAAGTGCCTGTCCATAATTATAACCTCTCATATGCTCACCCCACCTATCATGTAAACGATCATATGAGAGATTGTATGTACAGGCGGGTTACCCCACCTACCTGGGGTCCCTCACCTCCAGGTAAACAGGCCCTTAGCCTCTTCTGGAACCATTTGAGCACAATAGATAGACCTCTAAACTGGCTTCTACGTTTTGTTTTCAAAACGTGATACCCTGGAGAACTGTTTCTTTCAATCTTCGTCCATTCACGTGCATAATGTATTATGTATGCAGAATTGATAAAAGACAACGCCCTTGGGGCGACACATCACCTACATTGAGAAAACTAAACATACAAGCTAAAGAGGTCTATTTGGGCCAAAAAGGTCTATGAAAAAAACAATATCAGCCAACTCTGAAGCAAAACTCAAGTGGACAACATGAAAACCCGAATTGTTTCAGGGAAGCAGTCCTGGGAAGTCTTCAAAATGAAAATCTTACATCAATCATGACGTAAAAAGGCCGGACTGCACGAAAGGTCGGTTGGGTGCAATCATGAAGAAATCTATTATTTTTGACCCATGCTGATTTGCGTTACATGTTCTTGTAGTACGAATACTACACAACTTGCTATTATCAATAAATGAATTGCTGGAAAGCAACATACCGCAAAGTGCCTCTGGAATGCTTTCGGACCCCTGCAAAGAATAGAAAAACGTTAGTCACTACTAAGCAATAACAAAACAGAAAGAACTTTTTGAAATCTAAGGGGACACAAATACGCAACTTGGAGAGCTTATTTTTCAGCCCAACGGTTTTACTTTAGTTAAGGTTAGAGGGAGAAGAAAAAGCATGTGTCTGACAGTCACTAGAAAGGAAGAATAATTATTTGAACCTTTAATAATGCGACAAAAACTTCAATACTGATGTTGTGATAGTGAGGATAGAACATAATAATATCAGAAGGATACACCTACACCAACAGGTGAAATTTCTCTGCTAATACAGATATTAAAACACGACACTGCAGTATTGTTTTCATTATACCTGTATGTGAAATTTCCACATATTTCACAATTGTAGCTTATGTTGAGCCCGTGCAACTTGTATAACCAGTAAGGGATGGGCTAAAATAAAAACACAAAGCAGTCAGTCAATCAGTTGTCATAAAATAACGTTTACCAAATATCGTTCTTAAGTCTTGCTCGGTATCTACTAGCCAAACAATCCAAAAAACAGCTGTCACGAGTTAGCTTGTTACTTCACTACATGCATTGTATTAGATGTTTTGGTGTGTCATTGAAACGTGTGACGAGTTGTACTGTACTTTGACGAGCAAGTTGAATAATTATTTGATCAATTATCTGGGGATGCCAGAAAACTTATCTCAGCTCGCTACCGACAAACCAAGCTACGATTTTGCTTGACCTTGTCCAATAATTATTGTTAAATATCGTGGGAATATTTTTACTCCTTCATAAGTTATCTGTGCAATCGCCAATACGGTTGAAAAGAGAAATTCCTGTACAAGCTAACTGGTTTGTTATTGGTAGTTAATTTCGCGGATACCGTCAACTCTGTCTTAGAGAGGTGTCCGGCTTATAAAGAGTCGAGGTAACCTGAGACCAGTAATTTTAAAGTTGAACCTATTCGCAATGAATATACGTCTGTTTAAGTTGTACAAAACTGCTAAAACTGGAACATTGTAACAGAAATGTGGAATTATTTTCTCATCGTGTAGTAGAACGTTCATTACAAGCAAACGTTCACGGATTCGTGATCTAAAAGCGTAACAGTGTACACTCTGTGAACTGTAACAAGACTACACAATATCAAACATTTTGCAATTTACTGTCATATGGAACGCCTGCATTCCGTTTTGAGCTATTTTTCACGACATAAAGCACCTCCAAATTGTCTGTTAATGGTTTCAAAAGTGTCCGTTGTCCGTCTTGTTACAGTAAAATGACTCAGTGAAAAACGGCAGGGACCAACACCAGGTGTCCGTTAAGAGAGAGTTGACTAGACTCAATATAAAATTTCGCGAATCAAACATCCTGATCTTCATTTCATTTTTTCATAAAGTCTGAACTCTTTAAAAATTTTTAGAAAAGGCACTTCCACGAATTTAGCGATTCAGATGAAGATGATAGCTAGATTTTCTAATGCACTGTGAAATCTTTGCAAATTCGCAAATTCACGTTATTTCACAACAGAAGATAAACCTACCAGTAAAATATGTTAATTGTTTGGGTACCAGGGGCGGATCCAGGGGGAGGGTGCAGGGGGTGCGCACCCCCCCCCCCTGAGATGACCTGCGGCCGCTTTCTAATTAACACTGTGCAGTCGCTTGACAGACATACGAAATCTGCTCTATCGTTTGATATGTATTCTCAGCAGTTCACATTACGTTATTTCCTAGTCAAAAGCCCTCTTCTTCGTATTCGCTTTTAAATTTTTTTACGTCATCGGTCAGTTAGTGGTGCACCCCCTCCTAAGAAAAATCCTGGATCCGCCCCTGGGTACAGTGTATTTGTTGATATCTATCCTGTATATGTCATTGTTATTACATTTTAGTCAATTTTTTCTGTGAAGGGAATTTCCATACGGGGCATTAAACTTTGCGAGGATTTTTATTCGCAGGTCTTTGATTTCATGATTTTTTTTTACAATAGCAAAAAACACGCAATTAAGTACCAATAAAGTAATTTGAAAATGAAGGGAAAGCAGTATGACACATTAAATAATGATGAAATGTCACACAGAAATTCAAGCAACGACAAAAGAAAGACAAAAGCAGCTATACCTTTCCATCCCATCCAAGAGGTAGGTTTTTAGGATTATAAAGAACAGTTTCTTCATCATCGGAATCGGACTCGTGACCTTCTTCATGCTCTTCTTCTTCCTATAACAAGGCAAAGATAAGTAAATAAGATAAGTCTACTATACTTGCTTTGTGATCTATGAGTAGTAAACATGGGTAGAACTTCCTTCCTAATTGTTTCAAATACCCTTGTAGGGCGGGGAGGGGGGTCATCCAGACCCAGAGATAAGGGGCAGGGAGGGGACGGTCTCCAAAAAATTTTTTTGGGCCCTTCGGGTCTCAGTTTGGTCTAAAAATATGTGGGGGGGGGGGGGAACAGGGGACCCCTCCCATGAATCCGCCACTGACTACTTAGGGTAGGTTCACACTAATAAACCGAATAGCTTTTCAAAAAATACTATTTCCGAAACCGATGTCTTAATAGAGCAATTTTCAATTGAGTGTTGAAAGTAATCCAGGATTGAATTGGTTTTGCTTTACTGTGCTGTTTGATTGGTCTAGAAAACTCGCGCCACCCTCTCAGCCAATCAGATGTAAACTAAAACCAATCGCTCCTTGGTCACTCGCGTTTTCCCGCGCTACAGGCCGGTTACACGCGTTTACTTCGAGTTGCCATTGGCTCCCTCTTATAATTTCCTTTACTCTGATTGGCCGTTGTGATTACTTTGGTTTTGGTTTTCGACACTCAATTGAAAAGCGCTCTATTCTATGAAAAGAAACAATAGACCCAAACGGATGATTCACACGTTTAGTTACACATACGACAGACTATTACGAAGTAATTAATCTCAAAAGCAGAACTTTTTAATCAGTAATAGTTTAAGTTTGAAAACACAGCATTTCTAATGTATTGCAAAGTAATGTATCTCAAGGCGAGGGTATATACTGGAACTTCTTCAATGAAAAAAGAACTAAGAACTACGAGCATATAAGGCCAAAAGACCAGAGCTTGTCACAGTTTCAGTGGCAAGGAGCACTTAGAAGTGTTACCACTCTCCCCAGAAGGAGATGCTATTGTGTCACAGGGACCCATTCATACACCGCACTTTCGTGAAGAGAGACAGAGTGGAGCAGAATTTCATATCTAAAAACAAATCTTAATGGTAGTGTTAAACCCGGATTTACAGATCCGGAGTGTACCACTACGTCTCCATGCTTCTTCTGTTAAACAAACACACTACTGTAATGGGGGCATGAAATCTTTCACTGCAAGGGTGTCGACATACCTCCAATTCATCTGATGTGCGCGCTTGCTTTCTTTCAACATTCTCCCTTGTTGCTTGCCTTTGTTCCTAAGGTAATATTTAAAATATATAAAATGAACTTCCATTTTTATTAAAACTCTGTCATTCCGCAAAATTGTGACTTCAAATGTCAACCACTGTTTTAAAAAAGTCCAGTCATTGTATACATCAGAGGTGGTCGGCCAGGGATGTGACTAAAATCAGGAACGGGGAATGGGAAAATGGGATCAACAACTAACTTAAACCGTAACACTCAAAGCAACTTAATACCCCCTATCTGTTTTGTTCCCATTTTTAATTTTCTTGTTCCCCGCTCCCCATTCTAGTGATGTCTGTAGCCTAGCCTGAACATGCCACTTCTACACCGTAGTTTCGCTACCACAGGTGTAACTTGACATCAAGCCCCGATTTTGCAGCTTTCGGATCATTTCAAGTTTCTGGGTAACTGACCACCTACCCCTTCCTTAAGTCAGAATTTTACCCAAAGTGAGAAGTAAGTGTTAGGGGAGGGGTAGGTGGTCAGTTACCCAGAAACCTCAATCGAGTAACTGACCACCTACCCCTTCCTTAAATTACAATTTGCCCTAAGTGAGAGGTAAGTGTTAGGGGAGGGGTAGGTGGTAAGTTACCCAGAAACCTCAATTGAGTCACTGACCACCTACCCCTCCCTTAAGTCACGATTTTGCCTCAAGTGAGAAGTGTTAGGGGAGGAGTTGATGGTCAGTTACCCAGATTGATCCCAAGTTCCTTACGTGGTCGTGCTAAAGTTGTTTTCGTTTCGCCTTGCCCACTAGAATTTTTTGAAAACAAGTTACTACGGTTGACAAAAACATATGCAATAGAGATTAAGCGACAACAATAGTTTGGGTTCTTCAATAATTATTCCCGCAATAGGTAACAACATTAGAACAATAGTTTTAGGTTTTCTTTTCGCCACTTTTGAGCCTTTTACGAGATAAGATAGATCGGTATCAAGCACAATGAAAGTAACAGAACTATAAATCCCAGTGTGCTGAGTGTGACAAAATTGAGAAAAGGGGAAACAAACAATAACTTACACCAAGTATTTCTGTTAAATGATAAATCTGAGCCTCAAGTGCACCAATCTCTTTCTGTTTTTGTACGTTGTCTCGTCCTTTTCCAGCTCGTGCTTTAGCAAATAACGATGGATCTAGTTGATCTAATGGCACTCCTTCAATGGAACAAAAAATAAACTTTAGACAACTTGTGCATGTATTTAAGGTACCTCTTTGTAACAGACCCAGTGGAATCTATATCTTCATCGGGTTTTCGGAGAAAACGTCACCGGGTTGATTTAGTTTCCACTGTTTTTTTTTAGCCGTGTATCTCCCGTAAAGCTGAAAGGAGAGGCAGGCCTTACATCTCTACCGGTTTGAAACCTTTGAAAACCTTTTACATATTGCTCTAGCGAGAAGAACCTAAAGATTTACACTTTCTTAAGGCGAGATCAATTACCTGTACCCTCCGATTTCTTTTGTCAATGGTAATAATGTTTTATATTTTTGCTTCTTTTACTGAAACAAAATAATATGAATAACGGAACACACCGGTTTTGTAGAAGTCAGCAAACTATTCACCAGGGCCTGGTTGTTCGAAGCTGGGTTAAGATAACCCAGGGTTAGTGCGAAATTTGAACTCAGATATGAGAGCTTAAACAACAAATCCAGTTTAATTCTCTTTGCCTAGAATTTGATGACTGGAAACTATAAAAAGAATACAGAAAATTATCCGAGAGAGTGCTTTTGATGAAAAGAAAAAGAAGCCCGGGTTGAAATTTAACTCTAGGTTAGCGCCAACCGCCGTTCGAACAACTGGGCCCAGGTACCAGGGAGGTTAAATTATCACTGGGTAGAGGAACATGCTTCAGTGATTCAGCAATGATGATTATCTCTTCTTATCTTGAGAATCTTGACTTCTTCATTGTTTGCGGGATCATACCTTTTGTACTGAACAGCCTTTGTGCTCTATCTTCAAGCGTTCTGAAATAAACGTGAAAGAGGACGTTTACTAAAGCAAAGAACAGTAGAATCCAAGAAGAAGGACAAACGCCTTCTCACCAAACACTGGAAGATGCCGACCAATAGGCGAATCTTTGTTTACATTTTTTGCCACATAAACATCGTTTTTTTCACCTAGGGACGGGTAGGAGAGAACCCTGGGAACGAGGTTGCATAAACATACCTGATACCTGATTCATCACCTGATCAAGCTATTAAAATAACAACTCAGAATATTGAAAAAGCATGACAATTTCAGTTATCTTTGAAAATTTGCGCCTGATATACAAATAGTTTCGGAGAATTTCTCTTCCAAAAACTCAAAAGTTTTAACATAGCAGTTTTTGATGGCTGCTAACTCCTTTGTCACTGAATATGTACAAAGAGCTGAAAATTGAGCAAACTGTTCAAAATAACCACATTAACGTACTGCCAAAACGCTTTCTCTGGAACGGTCACACCATAGGATTTGGTCCACAGACCGAACAATTGGAACCACCTTGTGACAATCCCTTATTCACTCTAAACGTTAGTGAAAGGGTTAAGTTTTTCTTCAAATCACCTTTAGAACTATGACTGGATCCAAAAGTATATGTACTCACCCCCCACATTTGAGTCCAAGTGCTTGAAGAGCTTGTTTAAGTCTGTCAAGTCCTAAGGAGGCTAACTCCTTAATGGAGAAGAAAACACAACAGATTGTATGTCGGAAAGTGAGATGGAGTTACAGTGGGACGTGCGCCTACATATTAGTAGAGGTTGTGCACTAGCCTTTACCGTATTTACTTAATTAAGTGCCATCCTCGAATAAACGTCACATTTGGGAGAAAGAAACTTCAAGCGGTGTAATCCTGATATGATGTATAATTAAAATCAAAAGATGTTAATTCTTTTAGTTTAACAAGGAAAGTAATAATACCGCATTAAATACAATTCTTGATAGCATCCAACTTTCAAATAAACACCACCCTCGAATAAGCGCCGCACTTGAGGCGTGAAAATGTTAATAAGTGCTGTGGCAGTTATTCGAGTACTGCAAGAGGACATCAAGATGACATGCCAAACAACACGAGGCACGAGGTTGTGTGGGTTCAAGGAGAAGGAAAGAGAGATTTCTAATGTTTCTTTGACATTAGTGCAAAGCAAGAGTTAAGGGCTCAAAATGGAACTGCCAAAAAACCACTGACAACATGTTCTAGACATGAAGAACCCAGCCATGTGGTAGTGATGAGAAACGTGATGGAAACTTGCTTCTAAAATGAATTTCCATCAGTTATTTTGAAAATAAAAAGTTGCTTGCTCCCTGAAAGTAATGACCACCCGAGAAATGAGCCTCTGAAAGCAGTGAACCCAAAAGGTGCTTACTCTGAAAGTAATCAGGGTCATCACTTTTGGGATTTTACAGTATTTATTATTTAAAAGGCAGGACTTTGTTTAAACTAGCTCGATGTATGGTAAACCAGATGTTTCTAAAGAAACAAATACATGCAACAAAAAATTATGCAAGAAAATAATGTTGACATGGTTAAAAAGGCTCTTGTAAGTAGATGTGCTTTTAATCAAAATTAAAAAAACTAAGCACTCACCTCTGGAGATGAAAAAGCAGAGAGATCTAAATGAGCACCAGAATGAGCTAAGGCACTACTTGCATCTTTCTGAAAAATGGGTCATCAAGAAAGAGAATGTCCATTATGGGATAAGTTTCAGGTGAAAATTATATTTAGGTTAAAACTTTTTAACCTAGGTTGATTCTCAATTTCGTTTGTCTCCTAGCCCTAATAAAAAACTATTCATACATTAGGGCTAGGAAACAAGGGAAATTGAGAATCAACCTGCGTCAAAAATATTTGACTTGAATTTGACTTTGACCTGTAACAGATATAAACTGAGGTACCAGGTAATATAACCCACCGATCCAAAAACAATTATTTGAGTGGGGCTGTTTAATTTAGACGCTAGTGACGAAAGTGGAATCCTGCTTTATGGACATCATGCTTATAACCAACAGTTTTGTTTGTCTCAATCTTTTGTTTCCTCTCACACGAGAAGGGCACTGGAGCCAAAATATGCCCTGAATTGGTTGTGGGATTGTTACTGGGGACTCACCAGTCAGCTATAGGCCAATTTTTTCCATGTCCCTAGTAATATTCCCTGAGGGCTTTGCGAGTTTCCCTCTCGTTTCCAAAATGGCAAATTAAATTACTTATATATTTTTTTCTATTTTGCATCACCACAGATACTCTGTTACATAATTATGACAATGACAAAGATAGAAAGAATAAAGATAACAATGACGAGGGGGCCTAAAAGACACTATGTAGCTTACACAAATATTAATAAGGTCTCCTTAGATATAAGTTACAAGACAAATACTAATAAATAATACAAAATAATTACCATATGAAGACAATAAATTACTACAAGTACTTTATAAGGACTCTAGCACTGTTTTATGAATTTTGGTTCACAGAATAAACTGAATACCTGCAGGAATTTTTGGGAGTCACAAAAATACATTGTATTCTCAAGATGTACAATATATTTGGAAATGCTATCCTTTGAATAAAAAATATCTAGGGAATGGGGAGTTAGTTTTTTGTTCAACAAATCTCATCATATACACCATCATATACAAATGACAATTACCATCCATCCAGGAAATGTCCCTTTATTCCACTGCTCATCAAACTCTGCCATGACTTTATCAAGCTCCTGATGGTACAAAAGTCTCAAATGTTATTCATGTAGATATGTTACAGTAACATACAAATATCCAAAGGTTTTATTGGCAAAAATACGAGAAGCTAACTCAAGCAACAGAAGGTTTCAAAGTTATCTCCCAGTATAAACAAATTTGGAAAAAAAATTATGTGGTAAGTTGTGGTTCACCCTGGCTTATATGCACAAAAAGTTTTTACATTAAGTTATAACAACTTAATTGTTGCACACTGGCAACAAGAAGATAAATTAGGGACTCAAGAAGCTACAACACACAAAGAGATGTTTTCCTGAGGTATCAAACAACTCTTAAGTCACAAACATTCACTCCTATGTTTCTTGATGTTCTAAATATCAAAACATTTCTTTCTGAATTTGTTGTTAGGAATCTTAAGCAATGATGATGACCATGGCAACAAGAACAGCAATACACTAGCTGTAGGTTTATAGTAGCAAAACACCAACTTTGCATGTACATCATCCCTTTTTGTACAGTGTATATTCCTTTACCATCCTTGCACAACCATGATCTGAAACTGCCTAATTTCATGTTTTGTGTAGGATGTAAACACAAGTTTGACAAAATTAATGGAATGACTTGGGATATATTAAGAGCAATGAATCTTCAAACAGTGCGAATTCACTTTTAAGGGACATTTTTACCACCTTGGTCGTTGCTTAAGTGCCCTATTACTACAAATAGGGGACAACACTTACCCCCTCCAGGTCATAGAGTGGTAGTACTCGTTGAGTATAATCATACAGGTAATCAAGGAGAGCTTCAATGTACCTATTAGTAACAAAAAATAAAATACAACCATTCTTATGGGTCTAATGGCTGAGTAGCAGGTACATTGTGGCACTGGCTTCTAGGACATCCTGATAGGTAAGCGATCAACTTTCAATCTCACATAATCATCAGGAAAAACAACAGGCCCTTGTGGAATGACTTGAGATGATTCCTTAGTAAAAGAATCCAACATGCACTGTAGATGAAACCTGGTACGCTAATAAAAAGTGGGGGGTCACTGTGCTCGTTTACAGATCACAATGCTGATGAATACAGCTATTTAGAACTGCACACAGCCCAAAACTAGACAAAAAGGAGGTTTTTTCAATGATGCATGTGGTATCATACAGAATTTTACTTCAATGTATTGTTTATCCACCTATGTACCAGAAAGATGCCTTTAAATGCCCTTCTTTTTACTTTATGCTCCACAGTAGACTTAATTTAGACACGTGCTATTTGACCCATTATAGCTCAATCCGTACAATTTAGTAAAATCGCCAAAAAACTGAACATAGATTTATGCCGTTTTCTTTCCTCATTGAAAGGAAGCACTGTCCTTATTAAAATCATGAAATAAAAAATGGGGTCACCGTACTCATTTTTGCAGTAGAGTTACAGAAAGTGCGCACCAAATGCATTTGCTCCGATTTCTGAGAGAGGACTGGGGCGAGTTTCAGAATGGCATGTGTAAGGAAGGGGGAAGAAAGCATTAAAAATTCCATTTTTATAAAATTTACATTGAGATATCACAGCTAGGACACAATATGATAAAGATGGCGCTTAAAATGAAAATTAAAGTGAATTAACACAAGTTTAACGTCCGCTATCGAGGTTCTCTGTGAGGAAGTCAAACTCAGCAACACCTGTACTTCTTACATCATGCACATTCCCAACACACTGAGTCTTATCTCGGCAAGAAGCAACAGTAAGCAAAAATTCCAATAGT